GGCAGGCCCAATTCTGTTGCTGGCATTTGCAGGGCGGAGCGATGACTCAGGGGAGCAAGCATCATCTGCTTGCACTGGCATGCCCGGAAATCCCTGGGCACGGTGGGCGCACCCTGCACCCTGCGGCACCCAGGGTGCCACTGGGCACCGCCTTTTTGGCACCACACAAGAGGACAACGGGTCTGGGCTGGGGTAAAGCTCCAGGTCGGGCGAAACTTGGCATAAGCCCCTCGGAGGGGAGGGGGAGATGCTAAGAGGGAGGCACGGATAGCCACGGAGAGCCAGGGAGATGTGCAGATTTACATTGACTGAGAAGCTGCTCAGGTTTGCTTTAGTCTGCTGCTGTTATCCAGAAAGAGTAAGAAAAAGCTCTAGGGATGCCTGGGGCATGTTTCAACTGCCAGACCCTTGGTGGCACTGTCTTGCATGAAAAGTGTCCTACCTCTCGAAACTTCTTAACCTGCCTTCCTGTAGCGCACCTGCCTGGCGCATCCCTATCCAAACCAGTTAGACTTTACCAGTAAAAGGCAGCACCTATAGTATGGCCAACAATGCCCCAGTTTTTGCTGTCTGCAATCACGACCCTGGGTTAGCTCACCAATATCACCTTTTTCACCCTTTTTACATCTCGGTCACTTTTTTGAGCACAGTTTGACAGCTTGAAATCACCGAATTGCAAGAATAAATGACCTGCTGTTACCACGGCTGCTCCTCGCAGATGGGCAGGCATACCACCATCTCAAGTAAAAAGCATATCGATACCTTCTGCGAATGAGTATCACAAATCTTGTTGATTTTACATTACATGCAATTGTTTATATAAAGAGAAAGACTCCTTACTTCCTCCTGGGGCATTCAGGAATTTGGCAGGCTCTGAAAGCAAGTCAGTGGCGCATAGGGTAATGCTCCTCGGGGGAAGTGTGCTTAGTGGTATTGCAGGAGATCACGTTAGTGCTTTTGACAAGATCAAACAGAGAGTTCCAGCTGAACAATGAGTTTTTAGGATGAAAAGTGAAATGTTAAGAAGGCGTGTACCTCTCCGTGAATTTGCTTCATTTCGCTCGTTGATGTGGCGGTAACAGAACTATTTTTAGGTATAATCCTTCAAACAGAACATGACTTCTCCTTTCTGATTAGTACAAAGCTGGCTGCTAGTCAAAGGATAATTATTTCCCAACACATCACCTAACACACACCAGCAAACAAAACACTCATTATTTGAGCTATCCAACATTAACTGTTGTTTAGCAGTTAACATTTTCTTGATGGCTTTGAATAGGACTAATTGCTCCAGCTTCATTAGCAGAGGTCATTTACCACTGGTAACAACACTTTTCTGAAGATAGTCTCTCCTGTAAGATTAGATTATCAGGTCAAATTCTGCTCCCAGTGGCAATGATGCCTGACCGCATTTGGCCTCAAGAAAGTCTGCCCTTTCAGTTCATGGCTGCACAATTTCCAGCCCTGCAGCTGATACATTACATAAAGGAAGTAAGTGCACTCCACTGGATGGGAAATTACAATAAATTAGGAAAGCGTGCAGCACAAGGAAGGTTTGCAAAATAGCCACTTAAAAGCTATTAATAAAGCCTCAACTTCTGATAGGGTTTAAGGGAGAAAAAGGGAAAAAAAAAACTGATAAAGAAGTTGTCCTTATACTTGAAAACACATGCATACTCGAAAAGGAAAGCAGCATTTGCAGAACCACCACAGCATGTTGTATCACAAACACCCAGCTAAAGGTGTCAAACGCCGCGTGCGCCACGGGCACAGCTCAGCTGACAGCTTTAAGCCACATTCTTTGCATGTAGTTGCATTCGTTCATCAGCTACTCCTTGCAGCTCCAGCCAGATGATGCTGAGGGTTGTGGTCTCAAAGTGCAGTGGATGTGCAGAGTCCTTTTGTGCAGCTCTCACCGGTGGGGAGGTCCTTCTGCAGGCACTTCGGCAGCCTGCCGCATGTCTGAAATATCCTCAACTTTCTTGAACACATGTAAAACTGAAGCCAGGCTTTCCAGCTGATATATTCCCATTTAAGCACTTCTTCTCAGAAGTGCTGAGCTAACGCTGCTTGGAGTGCAGTCGGCACCTCTGAGAATCGGACAACTTGCATGTGGAAGTCCCAGGCATTCTCGCCAAATAATGTTGATCCTGGCAGATGCAGGACATTTTATTCGAGTGGAATTTCTGTTTTACCTGTGTCCCCCTTTTCTGCAGGCCTGTGCCTCTTTGCTGTTGCCTTCCTGCCCACGTACGTGTGCAGCCTCATGCCTACCACCTATACTTTCTGACTTGCAGCTCCAACTGCTAATCCATGTCTGTTTTTTGTCAGAAAAAAATATTCACCGCTAGCAATTGACTCACTGCCTCCGGAGTCTTTCAGCTACTCCGAAACGCTCTTCAGAGTATCCTTCTTCTCGGCGCAGAACAGCCTGTTCCGATCGCGATCTCCAGCAGACTGCTCGCCAGCAGCCTCCCCTGCCCCGCACACGTGTGTGCCACATGTCCCGCTCTGCCCGCACCCTCCTGTGCCACCGTCTTTTTCACGCCGTGCAAGGCAGACCGGCGTCGGCCATCCACGCTGCCAGACAGATTATCTTAGCTGTCAACGAAGGGACTCAACGTGCTAGCCTCCGGATTCCTCGAGCAGGTCCTCGACTGGCCAAAACTCAACTGCAGGCAAATCCTGAGCACTTTGCTCACACAGGCAGCCTTGCTGAGGCCAACAGGCAAAACTCATCCTCCCTTCCACCTTCCCGATGCCATTACACTCATCCAGGGGAAGCATGACCCAGCACAGCTATTCAGCAG